CGAAGGGGGGAGGGATTAACTGAGCGGGTGGGTAGATGGATGGATGGGCAGGGGAAGGGTGAGTGGATGGTGGGCATGAGTGAGGGCGCTGTGGGGGTGGAAGGGTTTGCATCCTGATTTGCCCTCCTGAAATGTTGGGGGATATGAATAAATAGGTAGCCCTTCTGTGGAGCAAAGCTGGCAGAAATTAGGGGTCTGGTGCTATTCAGATGTTTTGAACTAAAACATCTGGAAGGCGCCAAGTTGCAAAAGACTGCTTTATATCTTCCCCATCTCCGATAGCTACATGCAACACTTACCCAAGAATCGCTTATTTGTGAGAGTCATATGTTCTGTCTCCCTGGAAGGTACTAGCCTATAGGTACTATGCAGGTACTATGCAGTAGAATAAAGCAAAGATTTTAGGGACCAGGTACACGGTACCCCCTCTCCCTTTTTATTCAGATCTCACCAGAAATCCCAACCGGTCCATTCCCAAATGTACCTAAGCTTTAAGAAACCAGAATGGTATTTCTCCAAGTTATTTCCCCCCCTATCATTGACTCTCCCTTGGTTGCTTCACAGTGGTCTATCTCCTTGAGAGAAGCAATCCCTCATGTGTTGCCTCAACCAGCTAGCAACGATCATGAAAAGATCTCCTGAGATTCAAGGGGCAGAGTCTGGGACCTACAGAGGAAGAAGCTTGGTACAGTAGGAGTGGGCAGTGCTTTTTTCTGGGGCAATTCAAGGGTACACAGTACTGGCACCATTTTTTTCTAGAAGAAAAGCACTGGGAGTGGATATAGTGGCACCTGGTGGAGATGGAGGCAGGTGAAGAGCAGGGCTATGCCTAGTATGTCAAGGATGGAGCCTGATGGAGCAGAGAAAGCAGGAAATAATTTCAAGCTAAGCAAAAAACAACCTGCTCCCTGCTTGATTCTAGCCCCTTATTCTGAGATGACCTTCCTTGTCCAAAGACCTTAAGGCTACAACTCCAAAACTTTAAATACATTCCAGACTTCTGGCAAATTTAGTGAAGAGAGTTCTGCCTTTCCCTTGTTTCCAAAGTTGTTCTAGCTGCACCATAATCTCCACAAAGTATTCCTTTCCTACTCTCTAGCAAAAAGTACTTTGAACAAAACATCCCAATTTCTGCAGAATATCCAGAATGTGCCATAGAACAAAAGAACTATATTTAGAAGTCTAACATTAACCTGTTAGCCCCAGTATAGCTGCTCATCACTGCAACAACAGCAGGCACTACAGTTGCTGCATATGGGATGGGAAGCAACACAGAGACACAGTCTTTGTGTATCTGCCATTCTCTACAAAAGAGTAATTTAATAACAGGAAACGAACTAACAGAAGGATAAATTAACGCACCGCAGAAAAACACCAGGCTCATCTTTTATTCTGGAACAGAATCTCCCATGAAATTAATAGTCAGTGCTGAAAGGTCTACATAGGCAGCCTGCCAAGAAACTCTTCAGAAAATGTGGATTTTCCTAGCAAGATAAGTGAGTGTACGTAGAAGCCAAAGTTAGTTACAAAAGGAAGATTCTGAATTTCAACACATACTTGCCCCATACAACTGAAGATTCAGACAGAAAGGTGCAATGGTTTCTCTTTGCTTGAACTCTGTACCGCTATCTGAGAACACTTAATGGAGACCATGTTGTTTAGATCATTTGGGCTACATTAAGCGGAGGGTTGACAGACTGAAGCCAATGAGATTTCACCAATGAGACTTTGAATTCAACTTGCAAGCCCCCTACTTCCAAGGAGATAATGATGAATTGGTGAGAGTTCCACAACCACTGCCTTAAGCTACAATGAATTGCGGCAAGAAGGGATTAATGCAATGACACCTCTGTTGCCGGTGGGCTACCCTAGGGGCCTGGCAGTGAAGTGCGGTGCCACCATTCAGGCAGTGAAGAGTCTGCAATGCCAGGTGCAGCTTCGGCACCTCTGGCAGATGGCCAGTCATCACTTAAGCATTCCACGACCTTCTAAAGCAGCCTGTTCTGCTATAGAGACGCTCCTACCATGCAGATGTTTCTCCTAATATTTAACCAAAATCAGCTTCCCTGAAGTTTCTCCCCACTGGTTCTAATCCTTCCCTCTGGAACAACAGAAAAAAAGCCTGCTCCATCTTCATCATGACAGCCCTTTAGATATTTGAAGACTGCTATATATGCGTGTAAATAAGCCATACATCCTAAAGGCACCACAGTCTCTGCTGTGCCTCATTTCCAAAAGGAAACACTGGGTAAGTGCCTGAAACCCCTGGAATCCTGCACCGCTAGGAGATTGGTGTGGTGTGCAACCATATGTAATAGTTGAGAAATGGGCATCACTTACACTTATTGTCCTGCCCATGCAGTGAGGAAGTGCACACAATTTGGAAACTTTTTTTTGGATGTCATGCCAAATATTAGGCCACAGTTATTAACTCTGTTCTTTCCAAGGTAATACTTAATAATTGGTTCAGTTATTTCAAAGCCTGAATACACTAATTCAAGCAGAACAAGATGGGAAAATAAGTGGTGGTTTGATACTGTGCTTTCTCCCTAAGCTGCAGAAAGTAGCATGCCTAACTATACCAGCCCAAAGGGCATGAGAGCTTAGGGCGGATTTTAATTTAATTTAATGATACAGAAATAGCCATTAGCTGAAAACAGCAAGACGCACACTCTCATGGTTCAGAGAATGTGCTGCCTACAGAATCATATGCAATTATATACCCCAGAGCCTCTACTGATCATACTGTAGTGTGATCAAAATACCCAGCATCTGTGGACAGCAAGTACTTCTGACAAGCAGAAAAGTGTTTGGATCAAAATTAGTATCGAAAAAGTCTTTAAACTAATGGCTTTTGCACCTAACAACTATTTTTGCTAAACCGAAGAGTCGGACATGACTAAACGACTAAACAACAACAACAAACACATGGACAGAAAGTGACTGGCCCAAGGCTGCCCATGGAGCTTCATAGCTGAGCAGAGATTTGATAGCGGGTCTTTCCCAAATGTCTTTGACTGTTCATGCCTTCCTATATTCTTTCTCCTTCTGTCCAGCCAGGAAACACTGTGTTTGAAGACCAAGTGGAGCAGTCCCCACAAGAGCCAGATGCAGTAAGAACCTGGGAGTTCTTACATAACATTATTGTTATGGGGATCCCTTCACATGCAGGAACTGTGCTAACGGTGGACTGGATCATGCCCAAAGCATTTGTGTAAGAAAGCCATGAGGAACAAACCATAGAAATTTATGACACAATTTTAAAAAGCTCTATCTTATCCAGTTTACTTGATGAACCAGTGTTGTTCTAGGATTTGAATAACTGCCTGCGTAAGGTGCAAATGTTACGGAGTAATTCAGATGGACAGCTACTAGCCGCCATTTGAATAAATGAGAATACAGTGGTGCCCCGCAAGACGAATGCCTCGCAAGACGGAAAAACCGCTAGACGAAAGGGTTTTCCGTTTTGAAGTTGCTTCGCAGGACGAATTCCCCTATGGGCTTGCTTCGCAAGACGAAAATACCTTGCGAGTCTTGAGATTTTTTTTCGCTTCCCCCCCCCTTTATCTAATCTGCTAAGCCTTTAATAGCCTTTAATAGCCTTTTAGCAGCTAATCCCCTAAGCCTTTAAGCCTTTAATAGCCGCTAAACCGCTAATAGCGCTAATAGCGCTAATCCGTCAATGGGCTTGCTTCGCAAGACGAAAAAACCGCTAGACGAAGACTCTCGCGGAACGGATTAATTTCGTCTTGCGAGGCACCACTGTAATTGATAAGGTGCATCTGCAGTCATTGGTAGAAAGTGCCGGGGAGATCTAATGAGCAAACTCATTTGTATAGGGCAGAAAACATCAAAACAGAATGTGTATATGCATACCAGGACTAAAACTGAAGGGACAGAATGCAAAAGTAGCTGTTGATATAGTTTATACACATATATCGATAGGAAGCACTAACAATGTAAATAAGCAAAAACAGTCAACCACAATTCTGCATGAAATGCTTTGCAATAAAGTATCATCAGCAGCAAATAAAAATGGAGAAGATAATAAAAGTACATCAAGCTCCTGTTCACTTGGATTAACAAATTCCTTTATCAGAAGGACCTAAACTATATTCTTGGATGATGCAATGTCAGTACAGTCATATCTCTTGTTGCGTTTGCTTCACGTTGCGGCTTTTCGGGCTGCGAACATGGCAAACCCGTAAGTGTATACTTCTGGGTTTCACTCCACGCTTGCACAGAAGCGCCACTCTAGCTGCGGACTTTTCAGGGTGAGAACGGCACCCCGGAACGGATCGTGTCCGCAACTAGAGGTACCACTGTATAACCAACATTAGTATAAGATATCTATATCTCTATCTGTATCTATCTATCTATCTATATCTATCTATCATCTATCTATATCTTTTCTGTTAAAGTTAAACACTTGGCCATTGCTCTTCTCTGGGGAGCCCCTGTCCTGTGGGCCTCATTAGGCCTGCCAGCAGAACTATGCAGTTATCCTGCCAGGTTATTTTGGCCAAGCCATGCCCACATCCCAAACCATGCCCACATGCCAATCACCTGATGCCATATATAGTGTTTGGATGGGCAAGTAAAAAGGTAGCTGAGCTGGGCTAAAAGAGGCTTCTGAAGTCCCACCAATCAGACTGATAGAACTTCAAAGCACAGCACAGAGCTCTTTCAAAGGGCCCTGCAATGTGCTTTCAATTCCTGCCAATCAGGTGATCAGTGGTGCTTCAAAGCACTCCACCAGTCTCCTTGCAAACCATCATCTGCAGGCAAGGTTGTTCTTGGCTTGCTGATCATGGTATGTTGAGAGCAAAACAAACTACAGACAACGACTGTTTTGCGCATGTTCAAAGCAGGCGCGAACATGCAGGCACACATCACTGTGAATGGTTTCAGAACTCACAGAGTTAAAGAGTTCTGGTGACGTCTCTTTCCTGAGGCGTGGTTAGAAACACTTAAGGGAGGGGTTTGACTCCGTGTGTTTCAGTCTGATTTTCGGACGTGATGCGAAAGGGAGAATGTGTCAGTTCTCGCCAGGTCTGAATTTATGATGTTATTCTTCATGATTAAAAGGCAAGAGTAGATAAGGACTGCCTTGTGTCTGGACTGATTTATTCCACACGTGCTGCACTCTGCTTCTCACCGCTGTGTTTCGCTCTGCTACCGGCAAGAGAAAGAGGCCTGAGGAGGACTTTTGCAGGAGGCACGGATAGCTTGCAGAGTTCCGCAACGGAAGCGTGCCGGGCTCCATGTTCAGTCTCTGTGTACCCTCTTGTCCGGTGTAAATAATTCCAACAATCACTGCAACCTGGAAGTGGTCAGAGAGGGGTGCGGAACAGGGCAGGCTTACATGCCTCTGCCAACATGCGTGGGAGCCAGGAACGCAACCCCCACGTAAATTGGAGGTTGCCTGTATTGCTCCCTAGTTGGGACACAATGCTAAATCAGGGATTATGGTTTGTTTCCTCTGTGCACTAGCACAGAAGACACAAATAGCTCAGAAAGGTGCATTCATGATTTACTAAATTTTAGCCTGTTGAAAAACTGGCCCAGTATATAGTCTACTGTCCTGATGAACAGGGATGCACCCAATGAATATGTGTCTAATCCTCTTCAAGAGTGAGATAGAACTGAAAGCTGAAAACAGAGCACAGGAATGTTCAGAATATTATCTGAAGATTAAGAAGTTGCACAAATGGTCATTCCTTGTAACAATTTTTGGAACACAATCCTCTACCAGCATACCTCATAAGCCTCCTGCTGGTAGATACATTTACCAAGTAGGATTAGTGTAGCTCCAAAGGAATCATCTTTCTCTCTGCATCCCTGCATGCTTACCTGCAACTCATTTCATAGAACCTCCACACCTTTCACTCAGAAATATTTGTGAACTTCTTTGAGGCATATAGAAAACGCAAGCCCTCTTTTACTGCCGTTTATAGATTTATGTCCCCTATTTCATGGCACTAACTTTATTTACCACTTTTATTTACACACATACTGTGCTCCCCACAATACAGTAAATTATCCAACATTCACAACTTCAACAGATGCAACTGCTTATCTAATAAATCCTTCAGAAAATGTGGTGTTCTGAGACGGCAGACACTTCTCTGTGCAAACCTCTGTTGAGATGAAATATGGAACCCCGCACTGTTCCTTGCCATTATGATTAATTGCAGGTGCCTCCTCCTCACTCTAGTAGTAGAAAATAGCATGCGGAAGTAGGCTACTTCTTCCTAAGAACCATCATTACAGTTGAACAAGGTATACCTATCTATGCCTGAATCTCTTTCACTATTTAAAATTCCCAAACTATCTCTTGAGTCCTCTGCATATCAAAGCAGTCAGGAGAGGGAAATACAGAAAATGCTTTCTGCTTAAAAAACAAGCAAATCAAAAGCAAAACAGGTTCCCTGCAGAAATCTCAGGTTTTTAACTCGTATATTTTCATCTGACCACATCCTTTCCAAAGTTTCAGCTTTTTCTTTTTTTAGTTCAATGCTCTTATCGGCAATGGGGGGAAAACGAGTCTTAGCAGTCAGTGATATGTTCCCTTTTACAAGAAGTTTGGAGCCAGGCTGGTCCAAAGACCTTGTGCTGAAAGCAGGAGATAACTCCTTACCCAACACCACTTGGGAGACTAATCCACAACTTCCAGATTATAGTGTATCATAAAGGCTTGTAGGACTAGCAACCTTGACAGGTGCTCTATAATTGTCTTGAAGCCGAGCGGTCTTCAACAAGTAACTCCCACAGAAATTCCTCTGCTGAGGCTTGGATATAAACTAATGAATGGGAAAGTAAGTGCAATTAGTTCTAGACAAGCAATCCATACAAACTATAAAAAGAATGGAACCAGACACAGATTTAGCTGAAAACCAATGGCAAATAGACATAAGCAATTGTTTACATAGTCACACAGGTGGCTGATTTGACCTGAGACTCCTCTGGAGAGACATTAGGCAGACATTAGCCCTCTTCTTGTTCACACGCTCTTCATAATCAGCTAGGAAATGCCACCAGTCACAATGACCCTGATTCAGCACAAAGGGTATGGGTGTATTGAACGCCTGTAACTCTGGAAAGCTCAAAGAGACAAGCTCATACTTTTGAAAGCTACATGCGTGATGTATGCTCAGATAGTAAATTTGTATGCCCAGCCTATTATCTATTTGCTAACACAGGCTGGAAAGGGAAAGGGAAGCTTCCCAAAACACATGGCAAATGTCTTCCATACCCCAGTGATTTCCTGCTCCCCCCAACAGATCTTTCCATGTTCGTCATGTCATTTTACTGAGAGTTCTTTCAAACACGTCTGAAGATTTCCATAACTATTTCCTTCTGAAATGAAATAAATTGAGTGCTACCAACTGACCTTTCTCTAGTCACAAATACTGTAGTATGAAATGTTCATCCCACATGTTGTTAGACTATAACTTCTATCATCCCTGTTATAGTCCAACATCATCTGCAGACCCAAGGTTGAGGACCACTGCCTTAAAAGAAGTCGTTAACTGCCTCCCCCCCCCCCCATTTTGGGTACTTCTATTAAAATCTTACCCCTCCAGAGCAAACAAGAAACTGTGCATCAGGCACAATCAGTCTGAGGCACTTGGTCATGTACAATATATGCAGCGTTAATATTTACATTTTGTTATTCTCCTCCTTTGAGTATTGTTTCCCTGACTAGAAGCATAACATGTAGCTTTCAAACTTCAGTTTTGAGTGAAGTGGTCTCAAAAGGCTCTGATACTCATGAAAGACCCTAGAAATAAAACAAAGCCTTGTGCTTTGCATGAGGTATCCTGGCCTATTAGGCAAATTACCGTAGATACATAAAACATCCATGGGCAGATGCATATACCTCCTGAACACCAAATGCTGGGGACATACAACCAAGGAGGGATGCTGCCTTCATGTTCTGCTTATAGACCTCTTTCGGATGAGGACTAAATGGACCTTCAATCTAATTTAGCAGTCTAAACCTTTTATATTTTACCAAATCTGTTCCCAGTGCTGTCTGTGTGACTGCATCTGCCCACGTTAGCAATGTTCACATACTAGCAGAAGACAATTAATTCTTTTGTTCTTTCCCATCACTCCACATAAGAGATGGTTTTAATGAGGGTCATAAGAGGCCTAAACCACTATTCTCACTACTGCCCTGAATTTTGCCAAATATTAAGTGCACTTACGCTCCCCATATTGCTTAAGGGTTGACGAGTACAACTAGGGAACCAAGGCATTTTGTGAAAGGGCAAAAGAGGGACATTTCCATTTAAATCTAACTATATCCAGAAGGAAATTAAATTCTAATCTCTTCTGAAAAATTCCCTCTCTCTCACACACACATGCAAAATACAAGGAAAGAAAATCTCCTGCTGCCATTGCAATACCACCGGCATTTCTATCACTGGGATATTAGGATCACTCTAGTAGGTAATAAGTTTTTATTGAGTTCTCAAAGCTGCATCATTCGTCCATCTGACTTTTTAATTTCCCACATGAACGCCTCCATGTTACATTAGCTCATGGTGTGTTTAGGAAGGCTATAGTTCACGCTGAGCGAGTGCCTGAACCCAACTCTGGCAACATTTCCCCAGTGAATACCCAAATTAAAAATTAGTGCTCTTTCACAGCAGCATTCAGGTGCCGCTTCTCACGCAGATGGCTAATTTGCACAGGGCTATTTATGCCAGACAATTAGCTGGCATTCTCTCCAACTAAATTACCTTAAACGAGCAAGAAACCTGAAGAGTCAGCTTTCTGGAGGAAGGAGGAAATAAGAGAGCAACTGAGGGTGACAAGAGACAGACATTCTAAGTGTGGAAGAAGTGTTGTCTTGCCATCCAGAAAACAGATGTCTAGGAATGCCCACTGAAATGACAGCCATTACCACGTAGAATCGACTTTCACAGACTGGTACCCTCCGGAAGAAGCTTTGGGCTACAACTCTCATCAGCCTCAGCTGGCATGGCCAAAGTTCACACATTTCACTATTTATTATTTCATAGAACATGGGCATTGCTTTTGGTTTTGTAAAAAAACTAACTAACTAACAAATCCACTAATATCTGGAGATGTCTGGTAGATTCAACATCTACCAGATGATGTAGAAGAATGCTTGTCTGTCTTTACAATGAACTGGAATTCCACCACTTGGGGGGCAGGGACATCTCAGGAGCATTGCTCTTTGATGGTTTCTATTTAAATTCATGTAAGCCATAATCAAGTCACCGGCTAAGGTATACTGAATATACCTAAGGTATATAGCACTATATTTAGTATAGTGCTAAGGTGAACATTCTGCCAGTGTATCCTTGTTTCATGAAACATTCTGCCCCTTTCCCACCCCCAGGCCCCTAAGTCTGTTCTAGAATTTGCACCAGGGTGTGTGTGGAAGAAGATGGGAGGGGGACTTCTGTTGCACTAACTGTACACCTTATTTAGTTGGCAATACCACCCTAATTTTTAAGGTTACAATTTGCAGATGGATAGCTAGCCATGGTAGTACGTTACAGCAGCAACAAGACCATGTTACAGCACCGCACCGTAAAGACCGGCAAAGTCACATGGCACCTTAGGCTGTGTACACACTAAGCGGCTGAAATGCGCAGCACTTGCTTCCCCACTCCACCCCCAAGAATACTTCTGCACACATCACTTCGCAGTTGTCCATACACCAAAAGTTAAAGTGTTATCTATATAGCTGCCAGCCATGCATACAGGTTGCCATTTCCTTCGCAGGTAGTGTGCATCAGTGCCCATATACTTTGCAGGTAGTGCGCATCAGTGCTAAAAGACAGGGGACCAAACTGTTGTGTGTAGGCCGTCTTAAAGATCAGTAACTTCGAAATGACATGAGAACCCACCTTACATCTGAAGTCTGGTCTACAGAAGACTATGTCATAATGAAGTTATTGGCCTTTCTATAGTGCCACAAGATCCTTCACTGTTTTTGCTGCTACAGACAAGCTATTTGTAACACTTAAAAAAAAACCTTAGCTGTGTACCATCTTGGTTAAAAATTCAGTGAGTGGATGTAGAATTAAAGTCTCTTTATTCAGTTGCATAAAGGTGCTCTTAATGTGCTTCTCTGAAAAGGGAACATAAGAACTAAGAAGTTCTACAAATTGTTTCATTACTTTTGGGTGCTTTATGTTTTATCATGTGTTGATTGCTGTTCCCATAGTAATTAGCTTGTTAGAATTAACACACCCACTGACAACCTATTAAAGCTCTGTTAATTACTGTCCCTCTAGCAATTTCACTCTAGCTACCTTTAGCATTTACAATGGATACAGCAGCTTTTATTTGAGAAAGAGAGATATACACATATATACAAAAAGTATAACCTGGATGTAGAATTTAGCTGGATGAAAGTACTAAATGTGGTAAGATACTGTAACTCTCAAAGCATGTCTCTTTATGCTGAGAAAAAATGTCTCTTTATGCTGAGACATTTTTCTCACTTTGGAGGAATGTCACTGAATTACAAATACTAAATCCCACTTACTCAAATGCTCTATAACCGATTACTGAATGTGTTTGATCTAAAGAAAAGCAGAGCGACACAAGAAACCTGTAGGCCACCAGCAACTCTGGTTCAAATAGAGCACTCAGGTATAATATCCCAGTCAGAAATTTATTTCCTAATGTAAATGGATTATCAAAACATCGGATGGGAAAGATTCTCTGAATAGGTAGCAGAAGTAAAACCATTGCATAAAGCAAACAAAATCATATTGAAGCCAACAGAATGGTTTAAAAAAAATGTTGAAAAAAGCGGCAATCTGTTAACCTGCGACGAATAAAAGCCTAAAGAAAAACAGGTAAGTATGCCAATTCACACTTACGAAAAACATAAACATTCTCAACAAGGAATATTGTTCACAGAAAATTTTTAGATTGCTGGACTAGCTGTTGGGCGGTTTTTACATTGCTGTAACTTGCTCCGCTTTCGTGGTTTCTGAACATTTTAAAACTATATTGCTTTTTGTTTTCATAAGATTTGTAATCTGAAAAAGCCATATACCGAGCATGCAAGATACAATATCCATCCATCCATCCATCTATCTATCTACCCATCCAGCCTCTGTGGCCCAGTTTATTCATCCCACTCAATTGTAAAGACTCTGGCTGGCTGCATCCCTACAACACTTTTCCATATGACTGAGTTGTCCGTGACACTAAATTAGAACTTTAGCACAAAGTAGCCAGCAAAGGGCCCTGTAAAAGTTGGTGTTCGGACTCCAACTCCCATCAGCCTCAGCCAACATTTGTCAACGGTCAGAGATGATGGGAGTTGTAGTCTAACAACATCTGAAAGGCATCACTTTTGGTTACTCCATTGGGCTACACCACCTGCACTTACCGTTCTAGAACTCAGTTTGCTGTTTGAACATCAGCTAGAGTTTGGCACTTCCCCATGAGGCTTTTGGGCATCAGGTGCACTGAATCTTTGTGCCTAACACCCGGAAAACCCTCCAGCTGGAAGTGCCTTTATGCAGATAAACTGGGTTACTACAGATAAACTGTATTAGACATCCTGCATATATTTGCCAGCACTTTGCATATGGTGCACTTAGAGGTGATCTACAAGCAGCTAAGGAAATTCAGCTTCTATAGCCAATTTTTACATTTGTTTTTGCCGAACTATATTGTTTGCTTATTCGTGTTATATATACACAAAAATATCTATTAATGTGACAGATGCAAGGTTAAATCTTCTCTGGAAATGGAGGAATGTAAATAAAAGAAGTGATTCACTGCTCAGCTACTAAAATACACTATTAAGTTAAAACTTTTTTACATTGTTGTGATATGTCTTGTAGATTAAAACCTATGAAAGGGATAAACATAAATGAAATATAATCAATGCCATGTGTTATAACTGGAGCTTGTTTGCAGAGGTACTTTGATTTATAACCCAGATTAGCTGAATCTCAGGGCCAGTTGAAACAATTATTTTTAAAGGAAACAGGCTGCTGCAAATGAATTATAAACTATTTCCCAGGATATAGAAGAATTATCTTTAAGGGGGGGGTTTAGTCTCCTCTTCATGGGTGTATTAACCAGGCAGAAGATATCCTGATTGTAGGAATATGGAAGAGGCACAAGATTTGTCTGGGTCACAGAAGAGTCCCTTTTGAGCCACTCCCTTCTGAGAGGGGCCTACTTATCCTGATAGCCTTCTACCGACTCAGTGAAAAACTCCCGAAACTGTTCATATTGCAAAATCTTTCATTTTTTAGGTTTCTCTGCTATCTCCTGGTCTCTTTTTATAATTCTGGTTGTGAGTTTCAGGGCATGAGAGCACATGATGTTGCCACATTGCTGAAGCTAAGCGAATTTGAGTCCGGTCAATGCCAGGATGGGAGGCAACCTGAAAACCCCCATGTATTCCCACCTAGACTAGTTCCATGACGGAATCATGGCAGTTGATGAATGTAGTTAAATAAATACAGTACAGTACTGCCATAAGCCTCGGGGAGTAATGTAGGGATATATCCGGAAAACAGCAGTCAGAAGCAGTGTCCGGGTGGAAAATGGCAAAATGTCCAGGACAAATGGCAGCCCATGGCAGCAGTGCTGTTTTTGCCTATTTTCCATAAAAATAGCTCAAAAACAGCATTTTTTGTTATTTTGCCGAAGAAAAAAGTTCAACAACTTTTCTGCCCAGATTTTCACTGTTTGAAATATGGCAACCCTAATGGAAAGACAAGGTTTAACTGTAGTATTGATGATAATGGTGGTGATTGAGAAGGTATAAATGTAATAGCAATAATAATAAACTGTTGCTTTTGTTGTTATTTAGTTTCTGTATTGGATGGACTGGGGGAAAGAGGCAAGCAGGGAACAAAAAGAGAGCAAGCAGAAAGCAGGACAGAATAACTTGGAAAGGATGCAGTTCTTTAAACCTCTGCATCTAAGAAGGAACAAGCAAAACACCACACATCTTCTGAATCCTTACTGAACTGCTTGGCTAGGCTCAATTTGATTTGGACAGAATACACCCAACCAAGGAAAACTCTGAACTAAAAGCACATTCTGTTACCTCCAGTCCATCTGAAACATCTCCCCATCATGGCCAGTGATCTATACTCAAATGTCTTGATACTCATTTGCTCCCTTCCAGCTCCTTCCAAGTGGATTTGTTTTTGCAAAATTTATACCTAAGTCTGAAAATATGTCATGTTTAATAAATGCCATTTATGTCACACTAATATATTTGTTGCCAGCTAGAACTGCCTTTTTTACCTTCATTCATATTATTAAACTATCCTCAACAATGCAATCAAGCTCTTAAACATTGTTTCGCTTCCGTCCAAAGTTGAACTGTGCATTGATTCAGAACATGTGCAATTCTGGATCGCAGCAGAAAAGGACATTAGGTCGAGCAGCAGATGCTAATGCACATTTAATGTTGCTGGTCCTGTGTTATTAACCTTATGGTTACCATTATTAGAGCAATCAAATGAAAATGAAATGTTATTTAATCATTGCAAATGGATATCATTATGAAAATGAGCACTTTAAAAGATACTTGGGAATGCTATGTGCTTCACAAATCATTAATAGAAGCATAACATGCTAGCTATCAGACTATTGAGAATATGGCAGACTGTGGCCATTTAACTAAGACTCAAGACTGCAAATATTTGACATAACTGGCATGGTGAGGATGCACTCTGTAAATAAGGATACACTGTATACTCTTCTTACTGTATCAACTCACAACATCCATGGCATGCTGACCAACACAGAAATATTCAAATATAAGAAAGTAAAAGCTTGCAAAAACTTGCTTTTGACTCTCTGGAAAAAAATGTGTTGTGCTCCTGACATACAGAACAACTGCTCATGTTATACAAAGACAATAATTGTTCCTAAAAGTCCATGTCTAAAAATGCCACCTTTGAAAGGTTAATATACATTAATACCTCAGAAAAATGGCCATAGGCCACTTTGAGGTCCTCAACTCACCTGAGGTCTTCAGCAATGTGCAAGGGTTAACTTGGGTCAGGGCTGCCTACCTGCAACTATTTTCAGCACCCAACTCCCAAATGAGAAAAGATCCTAAAAGGATTTGCATTGACTGTTAAACAATTTGCCGCAAACTGCTGACATTGCTTTTCAGACACCGGGGGAGCAGGGGCGGACTTTTGTTGCTTTTCTATCAAGCAACACACAGCATCTCTCAATGCCATTAAATGCAGCAAAATTTAAAATGAAAGAAACACCCAAGCTGCTCAGCAAAATCCAGGTGTAAAGCAAAAATGTCTTTAAAAATTAGTGGAAAGTACACAGCCAAGGACCCAGACTAAAATACTGGGGGAGGAAGGCTTTCAAGAAGACAATTGGTTTCTCTTTTAAAATCTAATAGTTTATTAGGGCCTTCACATTGTTACAATGAAACAGGGCTGTCTCTTAGCCACCCTCCCATTAGCCACCCACCTCCCCTGCTCATCTTCCCTCTGCCCTAACTTGTTTCTTGAATTGGGTTGGAAAGCAACATAGGCATCTCACGAAACAGATATAAGACTGAAGAAATGTGATCTCTCTTGCCCACTCTCACAAATGACCTGCAGCATTTCAGTATTTATCCCCATCCCACCCAGTAACTGTGTGTGTGTATGTGATATATAGATAGATATGTGATACAACATACCTATTACTCAAGGTTACATCCAGCAAGAGGATACATATCATAAACTCTGGGTAGGTTGATATGGCCAGATTACTTTTATGGCAAGAATAATCAAAATGCCCGCTTCAGTGGTCAATTTCCACTCCCTGGATTCTGCTTCAGAAGATGATGTCTGGCCTAAGGTCTTACACTGAATGCTGGAGTGGGGATTTTTCTTCCTTTGCATCTGGAAACAAGACTCAAGAGTGCACCTCTGAACACATGCAGAGCCTTCTTTGTTCACCACCAACTACAGTCTCTGTCTGTCTCTCTCTCTCCCCCCCCCCTCTCTCTCTCTCTCTGTGTGTGTGTGTATATATATCTATACCTACAGTATATCTATATCTATATCTATATCTATATCTATATCTATATCTATATCTATATCTATATCTATATCTATATATATCCAGCCAAGGGCTTCTAGGCACACTTGTGCCTTTTTATAAAATTAAACATTGGTAACAAGCACTATCACTTTCCACACAACTTTAAGTAACATTTGGTAGCACTGCCTCAGCAAAAATTATGTATAGTCTTACAACACTGCTATACAGTGGTATCTCGGTTCTCGAATGTAATCCATTCCGGAAGACTGTTCGACTTCCAAAATGTTTGAAAATCGAGGCACAGAGGGCTGCCTGCAAGTTTAATTGGAAAAATTGAAAAACACACAGCGGAAGCTGTTCGACTTCCAAGGTGCGTTTGAAAACGGAAGCAAATACTTCCGGATTTTTGGCATTCAAAAACCGAAACGTTTGGCTTCCAAGAGGCTCAAAACCTGAGGTATCACTGTACCTCTAATGGTCATTGGTGTACCAGTTCTCCAAGGCCCAATCAGCAGGCCACAAGAGCTTTACTGAAGGATCAAGTGTCCAGTCAAAAGAAACAGCGAAGTTACATAAAATTCCACTGGTGTGTTTTCACAAATGAACCAATAGAGAGGAGGATTGGCTTATGCTATACTGAAACAATTTAGATTTAGAAAACCGAATAATGTAAAGCCTTAATTCATAAAATAACAGTAAATAGTTTTGCTTAAATGCAGAATAATCTACCCCATATGGCCCTGCCTTTCCCCTTACTTGACACAGAAAGTTTACTGATGAGAAAATATGTGACCTTCCCACCATAATGATTCAGCACCCATCTCCATGTTTATTTATTTAACATGTATATATTCTGTCTTTTGGCCTCATAGTGGGGACATCCCACCAGTAATCCATATTTGCTTGCAGCACTTTTGTCTTCTGCTTTTCCTCCTTGGTTGTGGATTGGGAAATTTTTTTATTCAGTTTGCATTTAAAGGTGAGCCACTCTAATTCACACTTTCTGAAACCCATCTATCCATCCATCGAAATTTGCACTTCTCCAAATTTCGCAATGCACTTATCCAGGCAAGGTGATATTTACAACACTGCATATAATAGGGTAACGTGTGCATACACTAATAAATAAATAAATAACATAAAATGCATTATATTGGGAAAACTGTTCCACAAAATGTGTATAACAGGCAAAACTGCACAGAGACGTGTACTTATTAAGAAAAAGTCACACAAAAATTCTGACGAACTTTCATGATGCCTTTAAAAGGAAAAAATGCAAACTGATGTGGAAATGTGGAGAACTGGACCCAAGTTTAGAAAAAAATGGGAAACTGATAGAAACTGAAGTTGATGTATTCACCCATCCTTATCCTTTGTATACACAACCAGTAGAACAGGAAAACACAGCACTATATGGAAGGCAGACTGTACTCTGCCCTGCTGTGTCTTGTCTATTAGCCTGGGAAGGGGGCCTCATTCACACCATCTTTCTTTTCCTTTTGGGTTCTGGCTTTTAGTTTTGCCTTTGGTATGAAAAGGGACAGAAGCCAATGTCAATTAGTATCATGTGTCTTCCAGCTGCCTAATGAAAGAAACATCACACAATCAAACAGATTTGAAAACTAGAGGGGAAAGGAACGCCACACGCATATTTCATTCAGAGGGAGGATTTTCACCCCCTTGCAACAAGTCTTCAGAAGAGAAGAGATGCATATTTCATATGGCAGCTCCATTGATTATGCACTCAGTTCTCCAGCTGCCATGCCAGGTCACCGCAGCTCCATGGAGGCAGGGTCTTCAGAAACATGTCGGGAACAACAACAAAGCAAGTGCCTCGTCCCTGTGGGGCTGTTAGAGTGATTCTGAGAAATGCTTCTCAGTCATGGCAAATCACCTGGTGGGGAGAATTTTACTAAGTTGCATATTTTCCTAAGCTCGCTCTTCTGTGAATCGCGTTTGTCTGAAGTCAAGGTTTAAATGTGAACTTGCCTCCGCCCTGCTGCAGGGGTCTTTGCGTGCCTCTGCACTTCAACCCGCACGCAGCTCAAACAAGCCATTGCATAGCTTTTCAAGTCATTCAAACCCAGACCCCAGAAGGGTAATCCAGAAATAAACTACGGTCTGTCCTTAGTTTATTTCTGGCTTACCGTTAGTGCTTTGCTTGAAACAAATAAACCACGGTCCAGGTTCAGATAACATGACAAACCAAACTATGTCTTGTCTGAACTTGCAGTGCTGTGCAGGGACTCACGTCACAGGAGGAGGCATGCTCTGAATTAAGCCATAGTTTAAGACAAATAGTGATTCATCAGGATATCGAAACCAGCCCACTGGGTATCAATATACTAAATAAAATCAATCTAGTGTCAAAATAGGCAGCCCTATTTAGGGAAGTTTCTAATGTTTGATTCTATTTTTAATATTCTGTTGGGAGCTGCCCAGAGTGGCTGGGGAAACCCAGCCAGATGGGCAGGGTATAAATAAATTATTATTATTATTAGTGGTAGTAGTAGTAGTAGTAGTAGTAGTAGTAGTAGTATTTCCCTTGAATGGCCCTGGGATCCAGGATTTACAAATGGAGAACAAATATTCTGATGTTAGAGAAGTACCTGACAGTGCATTCCTATACAGTGGTACCTCGGGTTAAGAACTTTGCTTTAGGATGAAAACAGAAATCGTGCTTCGGTGGCGCGGCGGCAGCGGGAGGCCCCATTAGCTAAAGTGGTGCTTCAGGTTAAGAACAGTTTCAGGTTAAGAACGGACCTCCGGAACGAATTAAGTACGTAACCCGAAGTACCACTGTACTCATAAGTAAATTTCACTATTTTCAATGGAGCTTAGTCCAGGTAACTGTGCATACAAGTGTACCTTAACTAAGCCAACCAAACTCTAGACAGGGAGCAATGGGTTGGAATGGAGCAGCGGAGCCACTACTTCAATGAAAGCCCTGCTTTCACATTGTTTTCAGCTGTGCTAGTTCCAGGCCAGTACAGTAGAGAGACCTCTCTCCAGAAGCTTACCAGCTGATCCAT